CTCTAGGCCCGAAACGTCAGCCTTCCTGCTCCTCTGATGCTGCTTGGCCTGCTGTGTTCATCCAGCTCTACACCTTGCTATCTCAGATTCTCCAGCATCTGCAGTTCCTACTACGCCTGGGGAAGAGTTGGTTTGTTTACCAGCTCACTGGAGAATGAGGTCAAAGACAGGTTCAGCTACAACGTACTCAGCTTGAGACCTTACGAGGGCAGCATTCAGGGCAACGCTAATGGACCAGCACACCAAACTGCTCAATCATTTGGTTAGTTGACATGCAGACAGCCTCCAGACATTGTCAGGGAGTGTGGAGGAATCTGGCTCCAGGTTGGAAGAAGACAGCACATATAATTTAGCCATAGTTTCTGTTCCTGCAAACTTGTCTCTATGGCCTTTTATTGCTGCTGCTGTATTAGACAATTCATCACCCAGAATTTATTTTTGATGGAAATGCAAATAAATAATTGGGGGAGGTGGTAGGGCTATTGCCATTGAGAGTGATGCATAAAGCTAACGATCCCACAACCAACAGATCAGATCTAAGCTATGCAGTCCTGCCACATCCAGTTGTGAATGATGGTGGACAATTAGGCAACTCACTGGAGGACGAGGCCCCATGAATATTCCCTTCCTCAATGATGGAGAGTTGAATACATCAGTGCAAAAGATAAGTCTGAAGCTTTCACAGCAATCTTCAGCCAGAAGTGCAAAGAGGATGATCCATCTCGGTCTCCTCCAGTGGTCCCCAGCATCACAGATACCAGTCTTCAGCCAATTCGATTCACTCCACGTGATATCAAGAAATGGTTAGAGACACTGGTTACTGCAAAGGCTACAGGCCCTGACAACATAGACTCACAGACTCATACATCACAGGAACAGACTGTTAGGTCCAACCAGTCCATGCTGACCATAATCCCAAACTAAACTAGTCCTGCCTGCCTGTGCTTGGCCCATACCTCTCCAAACATCCCTTATTCATGTACTTACACAATTTAAAAAAAAATTATAACAGTATCCAAATCCACTACTTCCCCTGGAAGTTCATTCCACACACGAACCATCCTCTGACTAAAAACAGTGCCTGTCACGTCTTTTTTAAATCTTTCACTTCTCACCTTAAAAATATGACCCGTCTTGAAATCCCTCAACCCTGGGAAAAGACACCAGGCATTCATATTATGCATATCGCTCATGATTTTATAAATGTCTATAAGGTCACCCTTCAACATCCTACACTCCAATGAAAAAGGTCCCAGCCTATCCAATTTCTTCTTATGACTCAAACGCTCTATTCCCAGCAACATCCTGATAAATCATTTCTGAACCCTCTCCAGCCTAATAATATCCTTCCTATAACAGAACGGCCAGAACATTCCAGCAATAGCACTGAAGGGCTATGGTCCAGAACTTGCCATACCGCTAGCTTAGCTCTTCCAGTATTGTTACAAAATTTGGCACTTATCTGACAATGTGGAACATTGCCCTGGTGTATCCTGTACATATAAAGCAGGACAAATCCAACCAAGACAATTAACCGTCAGAATACTCTTGATCATTGGTAAAGTGATGGACGGTGTCGTCAACAGCGCTATCAAGCATCTACTCAGCAATAACCTGCTCAGCGACGCCTAGTTTGGGTTCCACCAGGGCCATTCAGCTCCTGACCTCATTGCAGCCTTGGTTCAAACATGGACAAAACAGCTGTATTCCAGAGGTGATGTGACAGTGACATTCCTTGACATCAAGGCTGCATTCAACCGAGTGTGGCATCAAGGAACCTGAACAAAACTGAAATCATGGGTATCGGGAGCAAACTCTCCTGTGGTTGGAGTCATACATGGTTCCAAGAAGATGGTCGTGGTTGTTGAAGGTCAGTCATCTCAGCTCCAAAAAATCTCTGCAGGAGCTCCTCAGGGTAGTGTCATAGGCCCAACCATCTTCAGCTGCATCATCAATGACCTTCCCTCCATAATAAGGTCAGAAGTGGGGGATGTTCACCAATGATTACACAATGTTCAGCAGCATTTGTGACTCCTCAGATACTGAAACAATCCATGTTCAAATGCAACAAGATCAGGACAATATTCAGTCTTGAGCTGACAAGTGGCAAGTAATATTCACGCCACACAATTGCCAGGCTATGACCATCACCAATAAGAGACAATGTAACCACTGCCCTTTGACATTCAGTGGTGTTACCATCACTGAATTCCCCACTATCAACATCCTGGGGGTTAACACTGACCAGAAACTCAACTGGACTCAACCCACAGCAGGTGGAATGCAGCAGGTCAAGAAGGCAGCTCATCACTACCTTCTCAAGGGCAACAAGGAACAGACAATAAATGCTGGCCCAGCCAGTGATGCCCACATCTCACAAATTAATACAAAAAAAGTAGAAGGCACATTGTATTTACATATTTCTGCAGCTTTTAGGCAAGTTTCACACATTTCAAAACAGTGAGCCAGCACTGCCCAGTTGGATTATTCGCGACCATACATCACACCTCTGCTGAGTCCAGAATTTTTTCAATTCCCTTGAGCCTTGCTCGGTGTTTGCCGCCAACCAGCAGAATAAAAATCCCCCTCCTAAAATACGCAAAATTATAATTAACTCCACTTCACCTTTATAAGAAATTTTCTAAATTTTCTAGCTTTTCTTCAGGGACAGCATTGCTGGTTTTACTGCGCATTGATAGTAGAAATGGTTTGGAGCAGAATTTGGCAGTGCGTGGGAGCTGAATTCTCATGCATCCATTAACCTGGGAATTTTAGTAGGTCATTACACTTCACAAGTCCACATTAACTCTGCTCCCTCACACCATCTGGTTAATCAGTAAGTTGCAAAATTAAAATATTACTTTTGATCAAGTCATTTTTTTAAATTCCACTGGACTAAGTATTTTTTGCTAATTCAAAATGCAGAAACATTTTACAGTTGATAGCAATAATTTGCACATCTTCAGTGAGCAAAATATCAAAGCGTAAATTGAGCAATTTGCTGATTGACTACTATTTTGTAGAAGTTGCACATGACAGAGTATCAATATATTCTGGGAGCTGGAGTGCCTTCACTCTGAGAAACAGAAATAAAAGGAAACAAGATTCTGGCAACAACTGCTCT